AATGAATTTATATGCTCTTAGTATACATGTAAGTGGACAGACAGTATTTGTGTCACTGTGACTGGTGTGTGTCACTGAGTGTGACATCTTCAGTGTTCATCCCTGTTGTTGCCTGTGCCGGGATTCCCAAGTAGCATTCCAGCGTGTGGTTGTGCCACGGTTTGCTTAGCCGTTCACCTGCCAGTGGGTCCCTGGGCTGCCTCCAAGTTGTAGTTACCGTAAACGATGCTGTCAGGAACACCGGTGTAGCACTGCCTCTGTGGGACCCTGCCTTGGTTCTTGCCATGTATCACAGAAGCTCAAGTGCTGGCCACATGGTGACCCCCTCGCACTTCTGAGGAGCACCCACACTCTTGTCCTTCGTGGCTGTGCCGTTTCTCCTCCCCAGGGACAGTGAGCGCACATCCTCCCCAATGCCTGTCACATTCTGTCTTCCTTAGCCTTGCCCACCCAAATGGGCATGAAGTGATCGCTCACCGTGGTTTTGATTTGCTTGTTCCCCAAGCACTGGGGGTGCCAGTCTCTGCATGTGCACGTTGGTAAGCGGGGTACACTGTGTGGAGAAACCGTTGTTCCAGACCTTTGCCCACTTCTGAGTTTCTGTTTTTCTTGTGACGTTTGAGAAAGTCTCTGTGTATTCTGATGGATCCCTTATCAGATACACGATTTGCAAACATTTCTCCCGTTCTGTAGATTACCTTTTATCTGTGTTGAGAGTTGTCTTTTGGTGCACAAAAGTTTTTAATTTCCATGAAGTCTCATTTGTCTATTTTTTTTCTTCTGTTGATGGTGCCAAAATATCAGGTTTTGTCTTGAAAGAGAGCTTTAGATTTCTGCCAGTAACTTTCTCCCAGTCTCCTTGTGAGTAAATGAGATGAGCAGCCTCTTCGTCGCACAGGTGTTTAGGAATCGTTCCTGGGCCTGTCCTCAGTCCTGTAACCAGCACACCAGCTTCCCTGCCGCTTCTGCCACCTGGACAGCTCCTGCAGGTTGCCCTCTAGGTCTTCACTGCTTGGAGGCAGAAATACAGCCGACTTCTGGATGCCTGCCTCGTGTCCAGGATAATCTCTCTTAGGAGTTCCAGGAACCTTGCTTGCTTTGTTTCTGTTTGTCTTTTTGCAGATTCTGGGATTCTGATGGAGTCACTCGTGTCTTCCGAGGACAGACATTTTGTTTCTTGGCTTCCCACCTGTGTGCCTGTTCTTTCTTTTCCTTGCCTAACGGCACTGGCTGGACTTCCAGGAAGGGTTCAGTGAGGGCCATGAGAGCAGCCCTTGCCGCCCTCCGCGTCTGGGAGAGAAGCCATCTCTCACCATTACGAGTGACGTGCGAGTCTTTCATCAACTGAAGGTGTGTGTGGGCCATCCTGGTAGAGTAAGAGATTTTATCAGATGCCGTCTTTTGAAGGTTCTTTGGGAAACAACCAGGACAATCGTCTCAGCCTTAATGGAGTCCGGCAGAAATAAACCGCCCATTTCATGGTGCCACACCATGGGAAAGTTCATAGTCAACATAAATGTTTTCTACTTATGGTGATTCCTTTTACCTCCTGCCTTTATCATATTATAATAATAATTATTACTATTATTTATTTTAGAGACAAAGAGCTCCTATCAGTGGTTTATTGCCCCAAATGCCTGTAGCTGGTGAGGCTGGGCCCAGGCCAAAGCTGGGAGCTAAGAATTCAATCCAGGTCTCTCATGTGAGTAGCAGGAACCTATTCGAGCCGTCACCTGTTCCTGCCAGGGTGCACCTTTAGCAGGAGGCTGGAATCGAGCAGAGCCAGATGCAGGCACTCAGATGTGGGAAGCAGACATCTTAACAGGCTTAGCTACGAGGCCAAACGCCCGCCTCCACCGCCACATTAATCCACTACCATTTTCAAGCTTTAGAAAATGCTGGGGCCGGTGCTGTGGCACAGCGGGTTAACACCCTGGCCTGAAGCACCGGCATCCCATATGGGCATTGGTTCGATTCCCATCCAGCTCTCTGCTATGGCCTGGGAAAGCAGTAGAAGATTGCCCAGGTCCTTGGGCCCCTGCACCCACGTGGGAGACCCAGAAGAAGCTCCTGGCTCCTGGCTTTGGATTGGCGCAGCTCCAACCGTTGCGACCAATTGGGGAGTGACCAGCGGATGGAAGACCTGTCTCTCTTTCTCTACCTCTCTCTGTAACTCTGACTTTCAAATAAATAAATAATTTTTTTAAAAAATGCTTTAAACGCCGTTCCCGTCCAGGGTCTTCCTCGGTGGGCAGCAGGCACGGGCCATCGCGCGGGCTCTGTCTCAGTAGATGCTCTCATCCGCCACGGAGACTCCCCGAGAGCAGTCCTCCCCTTTCCCTGTCCCGAGTCGTTTCTCATGGTCTAGGTCTTCCTTCCCCTCCCCGCCCTGCCCAGCCCCGCCCCGCCCTGCCCAGCCCTGCCCTCATGGGCACTACATCCTTGGCCAGGTGCCCCTGATTTCCTCGCCGTTGTACCAGGAGGTGTGGCTCTGGCTTTCGGGTCCTCTCGCGTTTGCGGCGGTCCATGCCTGTTCCGCAGGAAGCTGCACAGGCTCTGTGAGCTCTGGTGAAGCTGAGCTGTCACTGACACCTGACCCTCCAGGGATTGTGAGAAACAGAGGAGAGCGTGTCACACACAGCACCGATGTCCCCTCTTTGTCAGCCAGAGTTCACTCCCTTTCTCCTACACTCTTAACTAGAAATTGTTCCCGTCCCTAGGGGACGTGTTTATTCTTTCTGAAGGGATGTGGTGTTTTTATGCCCACCCGGGGGTCACTGATTTTTTTTTTTAAAAAAAGGAAGAATTCATTGTATTTGGGTTTTCAGGAGGTGTGGGGAGGTAGCTGGCATTTTGCAGGCTTGCTTGATCCGGGTTCTGGAGCTCAGAGAGTGCTGAGGTCTGCATCCTACAGCTGCTCCTGAGGTGTGAGAGTCGCCACCCCCTCCTCACACACAGTGAGCCCCAGACCCTGCGCGTGTAAGAGGTCAGAAAGAGCTTGAAGGGCGTGGCAGAGAGGCTTGTCTGGTCAAGAGAATTCGGGGGACGTGGGCACTGGGCTCTTTAGCAGGTTGCTGGGGTGATGGTGGGGAGGTCCTTGATTTCTTGGAAAGCAGCCAACCCCTGACGTGGACAACAGCATCCCGTTCCCGGGTGGAGTTCCCAGATCTTTGTCCTAGATCACTTTGGAGGGTAAGGTTCCTTTTCCACTTCTGTATTTTTAAGATTTGTTTGTTTATTTGAAAGGCAGTAGGACAGAGAGAGAGGGGAAGACAGGGAGAAAGAGATCTTCCATCCCCTGGGTCACTCCCCAAATGGCCACAACAGCTAGGGCTGGGCCAAGGCTGAATCTGGGAGCCAGGAACTCCATCCAGGCTCCCGTGTGGGTGGTAGGGACCCAAGTGTTGGAGACTTGCTTTCCCAGTGCATTAGAAGGGAGCTGGGGGCAGGGGGGCAGCATTGTGGCTTAGCAGGTACAGGCACTGCCTGCAGCTCCAGCATCCCATGTGGGTGCCGGTTCAAGTCCTAGCTGCCCCACTTCTGTTTTAGTTTCCTGCTAATGTGCCTAGGAAGGCAGCAGAAGATGACCCAAGTCCTTGGGCCCCTGCACCCATGTGGGAGACCCAAATGAAGCTCCTGGCTACTGGCTTCCATCTGGCGCAGTAGGTTAATCCTCTGCCTGTGGCGCCAGCAATCCCATATGGGCGCCGGTTCTAGTCCTGGCTGCTCCACTTCCAATCCAGTCTCTGCTGTGGCCTGGGAGGGCAGTGGGAAGACGGCATTGCTGACATGGGTCGGCCAGGCCACAAGATGCGAGCACACACTGCAGATGAGTTTGAGTGGATCTGTGGGTGGCTCAGGAACCGAGTTAGTCACAGATTCACTTGGGGTGTCCGTGTACCTGGGGGGAGCTTGGCCGTAAAGGAAACCATCCCACAGTCTTGTCCTTGAAGTGGTCTTTCTGAAACGCTTCTGCGTCTTCCCTTGGTTTCTCCGGCGTTATGCCAGCTCCTGTCCCCCATCAGCCTGTGTGTGGCCGGAGCTGGGTAGACCCTGAACGCCTGTGTTTCTGCTCCGTGGTCTTTCCTGGCCACGCTTGCTGCCGAAGGACCTCTGGGCTTGCTTTCCACCTGTAATCAAAGCATGATGACTGCATTATTCACCGGATGTGCTGTGATACGTCCACTCGGGCAGGGGGCGCGACTGATCGAGTCAGGGGTTACACTGGTGCCGGGAGCTCACACCCTCCCTTCTCCCTACTCTGAAATACACAGTGAAAGACCATCAGTCACGGTAGCTGGGCAACGTCCTCTGCGCACTGCATCATGGGCATGGGGGTTCCAGCCGTGTGCCGTGCTGCATTGCCCAACTGCCCTGTCTGGCCTCCCTCGGCGCTGTCTTTGCCTGACGCTGGCACACTCCTGAGGACTCAGGCAGCGCCAGCGTGTCTTTGCCCTGCTTTGCTTTGCTCAGCAGTGGCGTCCGGTTCGGATGGGTGCGCGCCGGTAATGTACTTGACAAAACCACCCGCCTCTGCAGCTTAGAAGCAGCACCTTGGGTCTGTGTGGCTCCATCAGTGCCTTATACATCGTCAGCACTCAATAAATATTTGTTGCTCAGATTAGCATAGAGAAGTCAAAAAAACTGACGTGGAAGTGAATGGCTCATTTTAAAATCCATCTAGTAAAGTTGTCACACGTTCTTCCAGGAAGTGTGGAAGGAGGAGGCGTCTGGGTGCCATGCACCTTGCAGCCCTTTGTGGAAATAGCCAGTTCTGTTCTGAGTCTGGTGCACCGGGAGAGAGGAGATTGGTGTTACGGTGTTGAGCCCCGGTACCCTGCTGCACCATGGGTGGGGTGCAGAATGCCACCTGCTGTGCATGGCGTGCAGTTCCGTGGGCCTGGTCCAGTGGGTGTCTAGGCTCTTCTGGGTCCTAACCTCACACGGGTAGGTGTGTGACCAGCCTCTGCCTGTCTCTGACTGCGCCCTCGCTTGTGCAGGCATGCCCTGGCGGAAGGAGCAGACGCGGGACCTGCAGCGGGTGCTCCGGCAGCTGGACAGAGACATCCCGCTGGTCTTCGTCAGCGGCAACCATGACGTGGGCAACGTCCCCACGGCGGAGACCATCGAGGAGTTCCGCCAGACCTGGGGAGACGACTACTTCAGCTTCTGGGTTGGGGGCGTCCTGTTCCTGGTCCTCAACTCCCAGTTCCTGTTCGACGCGTCCCAGTGCCCGGCCCTGAAGCAGGCCCAGGACCGGTGGCTGGAGCAGCAGCTGAGCGTCGCCGGGCAGCGGAGGTGCCGCCACGCCATCGTCTTCCAGCACATCCCACTGTTCCTGCAGAGCATGGACGAGGACGACGACTACTTCAACCTCACCAAGCCCGTGCGGCAGGAGATGGCCGACAAGTTCACTGAAGCAGGTACCAGCCCCAGCGCCGTGGGCATCTGCAAGGGGGGGGTGTGTGCCAGGTCAGCCTTGGGAGACTGTAACGGAGCACCCCAGGCAGCCACTTGTTTGTTTCACATTCTGGGGCCAGGCGGGCCTCAGTAGTCCAGCCCCTGGCGAGGACAACTTCCTGGCTGGGCCCACAGTGGCCCAGGGCGTCACGTGGTGGGGACAGGGGCCCCGGGACTGTCTCTGTCTGTGTGGTCCCTCCCTGTCCTTGCAAAGCAGCCGGTACTCGGTCATGGGGGCTCCACCCCAGGACCTGTTGCAGTCGAGTCAGCCCCCGCCTCTCAACAGCATCACTGGACAAAGCGTTCCCCCTCTTAGTTCTGTTACCTTAGGACTTGGGGCTTGACTCCTGCTTGAGGTCCAGGGGCAAATATTCAGAACAGGGAGAGAGGACTGGGCCTTGGCTGGTACTGGATTCTTTTTATTTATTTATTTTTTTAAAGATATATTTGTTTATTTGAAAAGCAGAGTTTTACAAAGAGAAGGAGAGACAGAGAGAGAGAGATCATCCATGCACGAGTCCACTCCCCCAGTGGCTGTGATGGTCAGGGCTGGACCAGGCCAAAGCCAGGACACTGGAACTCCATCTGCGTCCCCCACGTGGGTGCAGGGACCCATGTCCTTGGGGCTTCCTCTGCAGCTTTCCCAGGAGCCTTGGCAGGGAGCTGGATCCAGAGTAGAGCAGCCAGGACCTGAATCGGTGCTCCTATGGGATGCTGGCGTCACAGGTGGCAGCTTAGCCTGCTGTACCACAATGCTGGCTCCTGGAGCAGGGTTCTGATCCCAGCCTGAGCCTTGATCTCCTTCTCTGTGAAACAGGGACAGCAGCCGAAGTTGTCTGGCTGGGTGTTTGTGAGGGTTATATGTTCGACATTGAGAACAGCGCTTAGCCTGCCGAGCACGGAGTGAGTGGGGGCTACTGGCTCTTGACAGCGGGTGTCCTGGGTGCCTGTGGGAGGCTCAGCGTGCACCTGGGTGTGGCAGTGTGTGCTCAGGAACAGGAAAGATGCCCCTCCCCTAGGGACAGGTGACCTGTAAGAGCCAGACTTCCTGCTGGCATTACTCAGGCGTAAGCCGGCACGTGGTCTGATGTGGCTTCAGTGGGTGGCTCCTGGAGCCCCCATCAGTGTCCATGCAGCGAGGCAGATTAAGCTCCCGTCCACAGCCGGGGGAGAAGGACGTGTCGAGTTGGATCTTAACCTGCTTCAAAGCTCAAGCTGATTATATTGTCAAACTCCCAGATCCTGCGTCTGCTGGCCCAGCACCCAGCAAGCCCGGCACTGCCATGGCGGGGGAGGGGAAAGGAGGTGTTTATTGCAAAGCGCAGAGCAGGGAGCTGGACAGCCATCGCCTGGTTGCTGGGCACGCCGGGGCTTGGGGCACAGGTTCTTACAGACGACACTTGGTGCTGGGAGGTGCTGGGAGGTGCACCATCAGCTTACATCCGGGAGTCTGCTCAGCCCACAGTGCTGCTTTGGCCGGAGATAGCGTGTTCTCCTGGGAATTTCATGTATGACATGGTGGGCGTCAGGCAGTCGGTGGGGGTTGCTTCCTCCTCAAGGTCTGGACTTTCTGGGGAAAAAAAAAAAATCCTGGCACCCTGAGCATGAAGATGTTGTTGAGGACATCAGTGGTCTCATGGATCTTGTGACCAGGGATGCTGTAGAACCGGCTACACCACTCCCTCAAGTCCGTGAGCCAATCTTCCCAAGTGGTTGGTCTGCAGTCATGGAAGCAAGGCAGGGACTCTTTAAGGGAGAGAGGCCGGGAGTCTGTGGAGACAAGGCCCGAGGGCGTCCAGCCCCTGCACCTGGGCACTGCTGAGGGGCTGCATCCCAGGCGCACACATGGCATTCACGAGGGGGCACGCCGTGTCTGAATGACAGGCCCCAGCTGCTGCTGCTGTTCTCCCCAGCAGTGGCTCCCACAGCTCGTCATACCCCAGAAACGTCTCTCCGCGGCCTGTCAAGGAGACTGTGCAGCCGGCTGACTCGCTGAGGTACCCACGGCCCCACGGTACAGCAGCTCTGACCGCCGTCGCGTTTCTTACCGTGGCTGTAGTCCCTCCTCTTGGACCCCCGCAGGGCATCCTTGGACCAGACACTGCTGAAATTGAGATTTAGGCACTTACTATTATGCGGAAGAGGGAGAGAGGTGGCCTGGCCCAGCAGTGAGCGTTCATTTTAAAAAGGCAGGGAGAGAAAAATCCACGCCACTCTTCCTTCCTCTGCCTTGTGCTTAGCTGTGTTTGCCTTTGCCTGGTGGGCTCGTCTGTGTGTTTGAGACATTTACAAAAAGCCCCCATCACTGGACTCATCACTGGGGTCGCTGCCCTGCCTGCTCCATGGAGGTGGAGCTGGAGACGTTCTCTTCAGGCCTTGGGGGTTTCCCGTCATGCCTCGTGCTCGGGCAGAGAACTGCTCCGGTGACCTGGAGACAAGGTGTGCAGACCTGCACCTCCAAGGGGGCGACTTTGTACTAGCAAAACCAGCAAGACCTCAACCGCCGTCCCGACCAGCCAGGTCCCGGGGCCCCAGGACCCAGCGAGGGAAACAGCCGGGTGACCACCCCCCGAGAGCCCACAGGACAGCATCACACACGGCAGCCTGCGAGCCCACATCCAGAGCTGTGGGTGTCTCCCCCGCGAACCCCAGCTATTCCGACTCACGGAGGCTGCTGTCAATGAGCAGAAGGCGGGTAGGCTCCTTTGAGCCAGACCCTGGCCACTCCCCAGGCCCAGCAGTCTCGTCTTGCAGGCAGAGGTGCCTGGGAAGCCAGACCAGAATCAGCAGGTGGCTTGGGGAGCACGGGACAGGGCAAAGGAATGGTTTCTTATCTCACCCTCAGTGGCCTCAGATACCGAGATCCTGAGGGCTCCGCCCTAGGAGGGGTCTCCTGGCCAGAGGGATGCAGCTGTTTCATGTCCCTTTCATTCTGCCTCCTGGCTGTCCCTCCAGCCGTCCACTCCACGAGGCCACTGTTGTGTCTTCCAGGTTGAGCAGCAGCCAGTGGGAGCTGCACAGCCCAACCCCTCCTGGGGCTCCTCTGACCTCAGGATAAGGCCCGGCTCCTCACTGTGGTCTACCACCCTTCCTAGAAGCCCCCACCCTCCCCACAGGCCTCCCTGGTCTTTCCGGGCCATGCCCTCGGCTTTGATGCTGAGTGAGGTTGGCTCCTTAGGTCCCGCCCCAGGTTCCTCCTCACCTTTCCATGTTTTCCACAGACCTGAGTGTTGTCTTGTCTGAATTACCCCCTAGGCTGTGAACTGCTGCAGGGCAGGGTGGGTGTTGAGTCGGTCTCTGCCTTCAGGAGGCGGGCCCTGCTGTGGCTCCAAACAAGCACCATGTCAGTGTCTGAAGTGAACAGAGGAGTGGAGTCCAGGGCTCCTGCCCCTGCCCCTGCCCTCTGGTCAGGTGGCACAGCTCGCTCCTTCCTGCAGCACCCACCATGTGCCAGACACAGAGCACAGCAAGTCCTGGCCCTGCCCCTCGGTGGTGTGCTCAGGGTGCAGGGCACACCCAGCCTCCTGGTGTCACCCAGCCTCCACGGCCTCAGGTCTCGGTAAAGCCACCTGTGCATCTCTGCCCTGAGGCACCTGCTGGCTTCCCAGGCTCACCCAGCAGGCTGAGCCCTCTTCCCAAGTGCACTCCTCTCCACTGCACCCCCAAGGCCCACCTTTGGGTACCTGCAGGATAAAGATGCCTCTTTTGGCTGCTGACCTAGAATCTTCAGGTGGCCCTGGTTCACCTGTCGGCTCTAGGCTTGCCACACACAGCCCTTTGCTTAGTGACTTTTCAAAGGACAGACCTTGAGCGCTTCAGAAAGAGATGGGGTTCAGGCGGACATGGCCGTCCAGGCAGGAGGGCTCCCGTGGGGCATGTGCACCCCCGTGACTCTGAAATGCCCAGAAGGGCTCCAGTGAGAGCAGCATAATCCAAGATCATTTTGCAGAGCCAGAAAAGTTCAAGTGACAGTCTGTAAAATTCATGAACTGGAAGACGGTGGGGAAATCGGGGGTGAATTCGGCTGACTGCATTTAACTGCCTCCAGCCTCCCCCCCCAACCCCGGCCATATTATCCCCAAATAGGATTTTGTGTCTTGTTTATCTCCTTGCGCTGCAATGCCAGTATTCACAAATGTGTCAAAAGCTCATCAGAATATCAGCGTAGCTTTTAATTATAATTGTGTTGTTACAAAATATCATTTTGCTGGGCACATCCCTCCGCAAACTCGGTGTAGAGGAAAAGCCCTGCTTCCTTCCAGCAGACTGGGTGGAGAATTCTGAATGATCGCGTGGGAGGAACCAAGGAGGTAATAATGAGCATCAACAATCACCGCCATTGTTGCCTTAATTTCTGGAAGTGGAACCAGGTCAATGAGGGGAGAGGCTCGTCACCCCACAGCGCGCCACCTCGTGTGCCAGGCTCTGCTCTGTGGATGAAACCCGCCAGCCAGCCTCCAGGCTCAGGTCTCCCCAGAGGCGGTCACATCCTGTTTTCCTTTTTCAAAGCACGGCGAACAGCCGCTTTTATGTGATCCAGAAATGCAGGCGGTACCCAGCGCACGTAAACAGGCAGGGCGGGACGGATTCCCAGATGTGCTGCGGCACCTGCTGCTTTCTGTCTTCCTTCACACTGCCTGGGGATAAACAGTTTCATAGCGTCAGTGGGACGCAGCAAGTGGTTTTCTCTTTAATTCCTCTGCTACCTGGGTGGAGTGGCGAAGGCACACAGCAGATAATGACATCTAGGCTGAGCACGGACACTGTCCCCGTGCCTCCCGCCCCTGCAGCAGGAGGTTAACGTGTGACCCAGTTAACAGGGATTCCAGGTTAAAACGGCATCTTCAAGGAAGCAAAGCCTGACTCCGTAACTGGCCATCTTTCCCTCGATGTCTCGATGTCTTTTGCTTTCTTCTCTTCTCAGAGCAGGGATGGGAGCCGTGTGTTAGAGAGCCCAGAGCAG